CTGGAGCCCTGAGTGAGGACAAACAAACAAAACTGATAATATTCAGGTTCAGGGCCAATGTTCTGTGTTACGTAGTTCAAGTGGACTAAAGTACAAATTGCAGTCAAGACATTTTTGATTATGATTGATATTCTTTTCTATGTAACCCTTAATCTTATCATGTTCTAAGTCCTCAGAACCTTATGTTACCTAACCATTCACAAAACCATTTACAATATTTCAAGCAAAGGTCAAATAGACAGTGTAAAATGTGTTCTGTTTTGGCGTTCTCCCATCCAGGCTTCGTGTAATAGACGAGATGAACATTTGGGGTTCACTGCTGTTGAGCATGCCTAGAAAACCTTGTTTTGTTACAGCGCTCTTTCTAAAAACAAACTTGTTGGTGTGTTGGATGAGAGAGTGCTAACTGAGCTGTCAAGCTGGTAGTACATGATTCTACTCCATCATACACAGCCACACTTGGTGAGGTCGAAAAACAAATGTTTCTTGTTTGTATTGTGTAACACTGCACTCAGCAATATCCCAGCTGCATGTTGGTGGTCTGTAGATCAATGTGGACCAGATAATCTAGTGATTAACATCATGTAAATGGAACTACACAAATGGGATACGGTGACATGGATAGACCAAATCGGCACGCTTGACCACCCTGTTAGTGGCCTCGTAGGACAAGCATGGGTTGATGAAGACCAATTCTAACTGGGATTTTCATGGGCAGATGTCATGACTCTTACAGTCGCTGTGCAAACAGAAACAGTATAATTATAACTAGGGCTGCGCAATATAACCTATTTACCAGTTCAGACCTGAAAACGATACGTATTGCGATACGCTGATTGAAAACCGGTATTTTGACTTGCATTCGGAAAACTTCGTAACACTTGGAAATCTTCGGATATTTCCTTGCTTCCTTTGTGCCAAATATTATTCACATTTCTATTTTATTATGATGAAAAGTTGTTATTAAAGCTTAATCAAGCATATATGATTTTGCTGTGTTTTTGCTCTATAAATCAAGCATTAACTCGATTATAAGTAGATTTTTGTTTAAAAATACTTCATGCAATATATTGCAATACATATCCCAATACATGCTTTCTCATCGCAATATACCGCAATATGAAAATTCTCTGCAATACCCAACCTTAATATTAATGTAAACATTCCTTCTGGATTATGGTAGCCTTTATTCCTGTGGTTCCACAGATACATACTGAAAAGAAAATGAAATTTTAAACATTAAGTCATAGCTGACTGACTGACTGATTCCTAGTGGTATGCTTTTTAGCTAATAGTCTACCAGAAAGTTACCTCGAACCCTGAGCCAACGCTTTCATAGGCCTCTACCTAGTTACCTCCCCTGATCATGACGTCACTGTATTGTTTTAAAACCCTTCATATAATTTGATGATTAATTCATATGATTGACATTGGTTAATGTCTAATATTTGTTAGCAAGTCAACTCTACGATGAGCATGGTTGCTGAAGACCAATTCTAACCTAAATCTTCACAAGTTCTATGTAAGAAAGCATCTAGAGACTGCACAGCTATATTGATCAAGTGTATTACGACCCTATTGCATGTGAGGATCAAGCAACAGATTCTGTGGATTAGTAACCAATCAAGCTTGTTATCCAATCAACACCCAGTAATCCTTATACTTATTCAATTATCTGGGTGCTAATTGTTATTACTTACCGGTTGGTGTCAATGGTAATCTAGTGCTTATGACGGCATTTTAGTCCTGTAAGGAATTAGTACCATCCAGACAAATATTGTGCGTGTAGATGTAAGGAGAAATAAATATCTTGTGCCATGGGAAATAAACTGAGCCGTGGGGAAATTTCATTAGAGATATTGTAGAGAAAAACAATTTACACTGCAGGAGCAGAGACACTTTGATATATATACCTCTCATAATTTGATTGTATTTATTCCAGCTTGAGAATGGTGTAGGAATATACATCAAAATGTCCCCGATACTATAAGCCAGAAGTTAAAATCTTTGCATGCCAACAGGATTCTAGTCTGTCGTACAGACCCTGAAGCAAATATATCCAAGAAAGCCCACACAAGTCTAGAAAATGTGGCAAGTCTAGATTTCCTCAGCTTCTGAAAATGAAGAAAGTCTCAGGGCTCCTTTTCATTATATATATATATTTTTTTACTATGAGCTTTTTTCAGTAAAATATGTTCATTTCAGAGACTAGTTGTTAGTCTAACAGGATTCATGCAAAGTGGGAAAATTTAGACATGTACATGTATAACTATCTGCTTCCTAGTTTTCACCCACCTGAGGATAGCGTAAGACTATATTCTGAAACATTGTGTTCCTAAATATATTACAGAAACTGACATCCATGAAAATTCCCCCTTTAGGCGTTGTTATCCATATAGCTGTATTTTTCATATTTATTCTCCAATGTCTAGAATATAAATCAAACGGTTGTTATATGGTTTATTGACCTGCCCAAATCTCCAGTCCCTGAACCTAAACCTTTTATCATCCAAATCTGGCTTCCATACGAGATGTGGCATGAGTGAGATCTCATGATGTCTCCTGGGAGATATTGCTTCTGTGATAAATGCAGCACAATGCTTTGCAGACCATTGTGACATCATCAGTAAACATGATATAACTTACCACTGATGATGTCACAATGGTCTGCAATGCAGCATTGTGCTGCATTTATCACTGAATCAATAACTGTGCTATTTACACTCTGGTTATTTATGTTTACAAACAGAAGATGGCAGAATGATTTTGGATTAGAAATAGTCTCACCCTTGGTTCTTCCGAGGTCCAATATAATAAATAATTATATCACCAAGCCTCAAATATTTGCTTGCCTTGATATGTTTGATCTCGAAAGACACTTAGTTGAGATTCTCCATTTCTCGTTTTCTCAAGTTTCACCATATATATTTTTTCCAATCATGGTGTCGTCCAGATTTTTATGTCCTTCATGTGATAATATATATAATATGTAAATAGTTATCTTCTTTTAAAAAGAAAATATGTGTTTAAAAAGCAAACTGAACTATACCTGAGGTATTTTTTGGATGGACTTAGGGATGAATACACACATATTTTGTTTTGGCCTAGAAAGAATGTGTTTCACAGAATGTAACCTTGCTTATTTAAGTTCTTGTCAAGTTTTTGTTTGGCAGAAAACATTGGTTTAGTATATACCCACTTTCATGCCTTGGGTTTTGATCTCTAAGACTGCACGTACCTGGAATTTTACAGCATAAGACCATGTTTGACTTCATTGTCACCAGCTGACCAATTGGCTGATAACTATGACATCACTGAAAAGAAAGGGTAAAAACATTGAATTTTATGTCATGATATTGGCCTCATAGAAAGCTAGAGGATTTTTTCCCAGCTCTTTCCATAGTAAATAATACAGGAAGTATAGTAAGGCAGTAAGATAGTTGTTAACAAGTAGCATTGCTGGTGAATATTTTGAATATCTGCGCTATGTGTAACTGGTGCTGTATCAGTGTTATCAAGTTCACCCTTGCCGGTGTGAATGGGTACCTGAGTGTGATTGTTCTGACAGGACATTAGCCGTGCTTGCATCGCTGGTAGAGGTTTTACCACTGTTATCTTATCTACTTCAACTCCTGTGAATTTGATACTTCTTTTCCTCTCAAGCTGAATCTCCCTCAACCATATACCACTGTCCTCGAGTTATTCTAGTATATGTTCATATTGCCCCCAGTTGTTTCAGCATCTGTATACTTTATCAGTGGCAGGAGCCACCAGTTAGCGGAACATGCCTATTGCAGGCCATTTTCACATTTATTAAGAAATACTGATATATTAAATTGTTTTAAAGATATCTTAAATGAAAATAGAGATATCTACAATTGAACTGAAGATATGTTGAAATGAATTAAATATATCTCAGAGATAATTATAGATATCTGCAATAAAATTCATGATATCGCAAAATAAATTCATGATATGATGAAGCATATTGATATCTTTAAAAGAATTGCTGATATCTTGAATTGAGTTGGAGATATCTTGAAATGAATTAAAGATATCTCAAATAGAGATAATATATGGTGAAATTACCGATATCTTAAATTGAATTAAAGATATCTCAAATAGAGATAATATATGGTGAAATTACCGATATCTTAAATTGAATTAAAGATATCTCCAGTAGAGCTTATGCATTGAGCAATTACTGATATCTTAATTGTTTTAAAGATGAATTGAATTGAAGATATCTTGAATATAGATATGTTTTGACATTCTTAGGGCACAATTTGCATATGTTTGTTGCAAACAGGTGGTGTCATCACTGATTTTAACAGTGATCGATTCAAATAATTTTTACCCGTTTTACATGTTATTGGCATCTGTTACAAGATCCTGCAGATTTTCTACTATCTGTTGCAAGAGTTTCTATTTGTTCCAGCATATGTTGAGACTAAGTTTATTACCGTTAACAGGCTGAACCAAATATTTTGTACTGGCAGAAGGTTGGCCTTATACAAACAAGATCGAGTCCTTGTGCAGACAGAATATAGGCTTTGTACAGACAGAACCCATGTATTGTACAAACAAAAGCGTGCGCGCACACGCACACACGCACACACACACACACACACACACACATTTGCATATATGTAGCTCTTTATAAGTGCTGCAATCTTGAACATGACTTTTAACCCTATTTGCATCACCTATGAATATCATATTTCTATAACATATTCAACAACTCAATGTCACACATTTAACAAAGTGGTCTTTTTTTACAGAGTTACTGAAGCTTTTGCTCAGAAGACACATGTCATTGTATCCCAATTGCGTACATCAATGCTCATGCTGTTGATCACTGGATTGTCTGGTCCAGACTCAAATATTTACAGACCGCCGCCATATAGCTGGAATACTGCCGAGTGCGGCGTTAAACTACAACCAACCACCTTTATTAAAGAATGGTTTTCTGGTACTGAAGTATGACTGTTATTTTTCAGGCTCGAAGTTCTTATGCAGTGCACTGGTGGCCCCTGTCAAGAACGAGCATGCGGACATCATCCTGTTCATCATTAATTATGAGGACATCACTGAGGCAGCAGCCAAAACCGAACTCAAAAACTTCAAAAATAATGGTATGCTCACATTTCTCTGAAATTCCTCAACCAAACTTGTCCATAAATAATTTATCCTTTTTTCCTCAACCTCAAATATGTAGATTTTATTTTTTCAGTTAACAGTTGGGTAGCCTTGTGGTTAAAGGGTTTGCTTGTCATGCTGAAAACCTGGGTAGTTAATATCAGTGCACCCTGACATCAGTGCTAACATCATCTCTGGATCACTGGATTATCTGATTCAGACTTGATAGTTTACAGGCTGCTGTCATTCAGATGGAGTGAGTGAGTGAGGTTAGTTTTACGCCACTTTTACCAATATTTCAGCAATATCACGGTGGGGGACACCAGAAATGGGCTTCACACATTGTACCCATGTGGGGAATCGAACTTCGGTTTTTCGGTGGACAAATGAACGCTTTACCTCTAGGCTACCCCACCACCCCCATTCAGATGGAATAAAGCTGAGTGTGGTATAAGACAACAAAGATAAAGCCAACACATTCCAAATTTTAGTTATCCAACTTGTGGTCGTGACACTTTAACCTTTAGGAGGTTATTTTGGTGCTATGGGATAAGTTCCAGTTTCTAGCACTGATCCATATTTGGAATCAAACTTGATATGTGCTACGACATTAACCACTAGACTACCAGGCACCTTGCATCCTGTAAATTTGTGAAATAAGACAACTCAGTGTTAAGGTGATAACCATCTTTGCCCTGCGTGGGCGATTCGCCTCTTATACCATCTTAAACTAAGAGAAGTCACAGAAAATCTCGAAATAGACCAAGAAAAACAAGCTGTATCTAAATGGATGCATAGAAGCTAATCTACACCGTTTGTACGTTGATGGATATTTATACTACTCAAGACAAGTTTAAGAAACCCAATTCCGGTGTTAAACGTCTTTGAGTTGTCCACATCTCAAATTATGTGTCAGTTGCATGTCCTGTGTACTAAGAAAAGTCACAACTCAGATAATGCAATGTTGATGGCAATGAGAAGTTGTGTCTGTATCAGGAATGACTACCGGTACACATTTAGAAAGTGGTCAGATGTGGCTGAGCGGGTTTGGTGTCTGACTTTGTGTGCTGGCGATTAGGTGCCTGACTCTTTGGCGATTAGGTTGTGGGTTCGAATCCTGGATGGGACTAAACCCAAAAAGTACTAGAATTTGTATTTTACTAAGAAAGTCTAATCCTAAATATAACATATGTTACATGTATCAGGAAGTTGGACCACATTGAGTGAGTGATTTAGTCAGGTTTTACACCACTTTTAGCAATATTCCAGCAATATGATGGTGGGGACACCACACATTGTACCCATGTTGGGAATCAAATCTGAGGCATCAGCATGACAAGTGAAGGCTTTAACCTCTAGTCTGCCCCTTTGCCCTTGACCACATCGAAGCAAATGTCGCTCATGTAATGGCTTTGTTTGAAATATGCCTCTACACCCAGCCGTAAATGGGTACCTGGTTGGAAGAGATAGTAGTGTGACTGTTAGTTCAATAGTGCCTATCACAGCTGCTTGGGTTGTATACATCGGAAGCTGAAAATGAAAATCTAGTGATTAGGATAAATAATTTCTGTTATTGTTTTAGTGAATGCAAGTTTTAAATTTGAAAGTTCCGATGATAATCATGAGAGTTATCAAATGAAATTATGCCACAAGTATATAGCATGCAGTGGCTGTAAGGGGGATTTTATGAATGTTTCAAATACTAACTACTTGAACACAATGGTGAACACAGGCAGAGATTTTACATGTGACTCTAACATTGTGGTACAGTTTAGTAAATGGGTGAATTTGATGTCAGTTGCCTAGTAGCTACAGAATCAGGTTACCATAACAACACTCTCTACTCATGGCATTAGATTACCATGGAAACATTTCATCTATAAGCTGATATAATAAAAATACAATAATTTTTTTTATCAGAAGCCCTTAATTAGTATTTGAAGCTAAGAATCTGTTACTTTAAAGTTGTAAATACACTGTATTTACTTCCTGTTTTAAGTATATGCAACATTGTTGCACCTATGGTATAACACTCCTGTTATTTCTGTTGCATTGCATGATATCTTTAATATGCACAGAATGGTTGCATGCTTTGAAGGACTAAGACACTATTCAGAATGACACTGAATTAAATTGCAAAATATGCCATGGTTTTGCATGAAACTTATACCTGGGTAAAGAAAATCTTTGATATGAATAACTCTTTTGAATCATGCAATACTATCTAGTGTAATCTCAAAACTCGAAGTGCACAAATGGCCCAGTTGTCTGTGGTATGCTTTATGTATGGTTCGAATCTGATACTCACATCAGTTATGATCACTGGTTTGCCACCACAGTAGCAAAGGTTTTTAGATCTGCATGAATGTGGAGTTTCTAGTAACAATCTGTGCACCATGATATATTTGGAATACTGTTAAAATAGCAGCAAACCCAACTCACTCACTCACTGACAAGCTGTGATAAAACTGAAATAACATTCAAAGCAGCACAGACGGTGTGTGAAATAGCCACTGGCCCCCTACCCCATGGCTAGTAAAAATCCAGTCAGGCCAGTACATCTCCACAGCCACTGGCCCTACTGGCTAGTGAATTTTCATTTGGTCATTTTGTAAATATATCACTTTCTCCGACTTGTTAAGTTATGATACACTTTTAAATCATGCAAGATTATGGCTTGATACATATGATCATCATGTTAGCAGCTTAATGATGAAACCCATTCAAATTTTGGGCTAGTGAATTATTTTTCGGACTAGAACTTTCAGGCGTAGCTAGCCCAACTGGGTAGCAAAATTTGGAAACTATTTCGCACAGTGAGCACAGATAACTCTTTTATTAACTCTCAGAATTGAAATGACTCCTTAGATAGAAGTTGATTTTAATTCCTGGTTTCCACTGATCATATTTCTAGGTTTGACAGCACTATAACCTTAGCATCTGACACAATATCTATTGAAATGTAAAATAATATACACAAAGTGTATATATTTTTATGCTAAACATAGTCTTACAGTAAAACTGCCTGTTGTTGTTTTGTGTTTGTGCCAAAATGTTTTAAACTTAAAAGTTCGATTGTTGCAAAGGTGAGCTACAGAACCATGTGTTTGATATGTTATAGTTGCCTCTTTGAAAATACTTTGGACTTCATCATTAATCATGTTATTATTAGTTATCTGCTAACAGATGGATAATTAATTGTTAGTACAGTTCAAAGTGGCATCAAACCCAACTCACTCACTCACACAGGAAATTATGTATGGAAGCATGTATTTTTATCATGTGATCATAGTTTGGACTTCATTAATCACGTTATTGTTAGTTATCTGCTAACAGATGGATTATATATTGTCATTGTTATTCCTAGTTTGTATATTTTCAAGGAAATAAAGGTAGCCCGTAATCCAACATGCCAAACTTCTCTGTGCAGAGTTGCGTACCTTGGACACACCAGAATGCTATGATTGGGAGCTCAAATTAGGGTTTTCCTTGATTGTGCTTCCAGGCTTGAAGCATTCTGTTTCACACGCAGACATGTCATTTAAAAACTGAAATACAGTTCAAAGTGGCATTAATCCCAACTCACTCACTCACACAGGAAATTATGCATGGAAGTTTATCATGATTTTAATGTTTACTTTACCAGGATTAATGGTCCAAGTTAGCGTTTGGCTAGCATATTGTACTTAAGATGGTTAGCATCCCTTTTCTCTTTAAACCAACTGAATTTATGATGCTGGAACTCCAAAAGCATGTCTGGCACTGAGTTCATCACAGTAAATTACAAACCGTTGCATGAATCTTCACCCAGAAGCCTCAAGGTCGAGGAAACAAAGTTCTGTGCATGATATATCTCAGCATAATATCTTCAAATCATTTCTAAATTTAAACAAGGTTATGAATCTTCTCCTCAGAAACAGCAAGGCCCAGGGAGCTGAAACTGTTTGATGGTATGTAGTAGGTCTGTAATAGGAGTGCTGTTTGCTTGGTTTGTTTTGGAAAATGGTTTCTTTTTTCATGTTTATTTTCTAGTAAACAGATGTATTTGATTGTTAAAATATTTTGTGTTCAGACACAAAATCTAGAAAACTACTAGCACTGCAGTGGGATTTTACTGTTTAATTAATATAAATTTGTTTTAAAAAAAATCAGGTTTTTAATTTGTTAGAATATCCTTAACAAAGTCCACAGTGAGTGGAAACTGTGCTGTTTGAGGGCACCTGTAACTATATGGTTTGTTTTGTCATCAGTTATCAGATTTGTTTCTGTTGTATGTTTGGAAGAATATGCTTTGAGCCTTATACTTGTATTTAGATGATTTCCATCGTAACAATTTCCCAAATTATTGAGTCTAATACCTGATACCATCCATCAAGCATGTGACAGAGACCTATATGCAGGGTTCAAAATTAGCAAAGCCGACTGAAAACCACTCGGACCCACAGCTCTTGTTTTCTGCAGGTCCTTATGGCCGACAGCTTTTCATCCCCAATAACTGAGAGCATTATTTCCATATCAAAATATAGGGCCTACACATTCTGGTCAGGACCCACAACCTTTTATGGTTCTGGGTCCTTAGGGCCGGCAGCTTTTCAGGGTTTAAGGAAAACACTGCCTATATGAAAGGTACCGGTAGTTTAAATGTTTGCCTAACAACCACATATCACTTAATTAAATGTTTCTTGGGCATTGGCGTGTCCTGTTGTCTCGCATGCCAATCACATTTCTTTCCCACGTCAAAAATGATAGTTTTAAGATTTCCGATGTCAAACGTAGTGTGTTATCCATAAAATGACATACTTGACAACTGCCATTTTATTAAAGATTTCTATATATTAGTCGTGCTTGGAATTTTTGGTGGGAAAAAAATGTATGATATTTTCCTGATTCTTGTCTTGTTTTGTTTTCTATAAAATATAAAGAGACATTGTTCGGCACAACCTGTGGTAATGGCTCCAATTTCACTGAATATAAGTCGGTAGGTACTAGCAACAGAAATGAAAGTTGCAAGTACTAATGAGTGGTTTTGTGTAAGCATGTATGTATCAATTTATGATAAATGAAGAAATGAATATTTGATAAAAAACAAAGTTTCCCTTGAGAACTGATTATGGATCTCTGCTGCAATGATAGACTAAATCAATCATGGAAACTGTCTCTCCTTTCTCCCCCCTCTCTCCCCCTCCTCCCACTCCCCCCTCCCTTTCCACCATGTTGGTACTGTTGCCTGTTACATCCCCAATAATATTTTGGTGTTTTTTGCCAAACTGATATTTTCAAGCCTCAGGCTACTGTGATGTTTATTCTCCCCTTTATGGATGTGACAAGACACAGTTACAGTGCACGACTAGAATACAACTTACGTGATGACAGCAACCTTAGATAGTATACTCAGAGTGGTGTCCCTTAGTTTTCAGAATACTCGGTTAGGATTACTGTATTTCCTCTGTTAGGTGCAAGTTGTTGAGGTATCTTATATATTAGAGACCTGGGCCTCCTTTCACAAAGCACTAGGGTGATCGTAAGTCACTAAGGTAACCTTAGTGCAACTTTAAAGAATGGAAGTTCAGGTTAACCTTAGTAACGGTTGCTTCGTGAAAGGAGCCCCTGGACCCTATCCACAAAGCATTTATAGCATTACGCCATTCGTAAGCCCATGGTAAAGTATTGAGTTATGATAGGTCGTACACTACGAACACTTTGTGGATTAGGGCTCTGTCTTTATTCTGTTTAATGCTGGCTGTTTAGGGGTGGAAATAACTTTAAAATTGCTAGTGTACTCCGGTACAGTGGCACATGTAAAATCACTTGCCCTGATAATTTGTCCACTATACCGGCCGTTTTCTTGTTGATTATTTAAAAAAACAACATAATTAACATTGGAAAGTCAACTGGACACCGGTAGAGTGTGATATACAAATTTGCTTGCCCGACAGAAAGAAACACTGGACGTCGGGCAATGGGTTATTTCCACCCCTGTTAATGCTGGCTATTGTAAAATCACACCCTGAATCCTATACTCTCCAGTTACAAGAAGGGTACTTTTGTTGGAAATGGTCATTTAAGTGAAGGGAGTCATCATTACCTAGAGTAAGTGATAGGGATCATTAATTTCATCAAATGATGAACTCATCTAACAGCGTCTTTTCCAGAACAGAGCATAACTTATGTCCTGGCATCAGTCATAGACTGGCATGTATTGGCATCTAATGGAGGAAATATGGTATCTTAGATATATCTCAGTTATTGCCATTGGTTGGATAGCAACCAGTATATGTTTACAAGTTGTAGTAATTTTTTTGCATTCTCCTTGGTGCCATTTTAAACCAAACTCACTCACTATGGAAATCACTTGTGAGGTGAATCTTGGAGATATCCATAGATATTATTTCGTAAATGGATTACATAAATGACAGTCACCAGAATATGGTGCATGTGAACCGATCTCTCTCAGTTGTGTCCCCAGGGCGTAAGTCGGATCGACACCGGAGCCTACGATTGCGGCTGCCGTCGATACGGAGAGATATTCGCTCAAAAGCAAAAGCACTCGATCGCATTCCGGACCCGGAAAACCCCCCAATTCCAGAGGAGGCTGTTCCGCTTAACCAACTTGGCTGTTCAGACACAGACGTCCATCATGCCACGACTCCTGATCGGCTGTCAGTGCTGGCCGAGCATGAAACGGACGAATATCGGGAAGACAGGACAAGTCTGTCAAGCCAAGTCAGGGACGAGGGAGATGAAGGGGACGAGTATTTACGGGACAAAAAAAAAGTTTAGATTCTGGTGAGTTTTGTTCAAGTTTTAAATTTCCATTTCCCATAAATCTTTTCTGAGATGAGTACAAGTTATGCCATTTTAGGTGTTGACTACAGGCAGCCATCTTGTGGTCTTGGATCTGTCTGATGATGGATGACTGTTTTTAAGAAGACCAATTTTCACGGAAAGCAGTTTGTTTGAGGATGTGAGAATAGCAAAATAAGAGAGGTAAAAGAAATCCAAACCTTTAAGAAACCAACAAGGGCCCACATGCGCGAAACAATCTTAGCAGTGTAATGATTGTAAGTCAGTCATAAAGTATCAGAGTATCGTTGTAATGCTGAGGGGGCAGTGGGGTAGCCTAGCGGTTAAAGCGTTAGCCGAAGACAAGGGTTCAATTCCCCACATGGGTACAATGTGTGAAGCCCATTTCTGGTGTCTCCCGCCATGATGTTGCTGGAATATTGCTAAAAGCGGTGTAAAACCAAACTCAGTCAGTCAGTCAGTGTAATGCTGAGCTCACTTTGTGCATGTGGACCCATGTTTGCTGCCATTACATTTGAAAGACTCAGTATCGGAATTGCTGGTAAACACTTCAGACATGAAAACAAGATTTGTTATTCCTATTTTTGTTATAGACTTTTGTTTCTGATTTTGCTCTCCAGACAAACAGTGAACATTTGTGTAACATTGACTAGAGACACCTTCAATGGCATAGCATTGTTTAAGTGATTGATGGCTCTAATAACACTTTTCTTGCACAGCGGAAACACTCTGGCACAGAGCACTGTGTTACTGTTTAATAATACCAAGTCTTCTCAAATCTTAACCATTCAAGCAGTATGTGTTTTTGTTGATTAATCATATGTTGTAACACGCTTATAACTTCTTTCAGGAATCTGTGGAAATTCAAAAGAAATTAAGCATTGTTGTTGGACATATTTACAATTCCGCAATGCATGGCGTTTTTTTAGCTGCGTCTGAAAGTGAAAATAGGATATAGGTAGGATGGCGACTATGCTTAGGGTATGACGATGCTTTAGTTTTCAAAACAGTAAGTGGGATTGGTTTGAGGCCATTTTAAACAGTATTTCAGTTTCATTGCGGCCAGTCAGATCAATGCCTGCGGGAAGCGCACAGTGAGGATGTTAACCATTTGAAAAAAACGCATAAACATGGGTTTGGAGCTGTCAAACTATGGGTTATCATGGATAATGTGGAATTCTAAAGTCGAAATTGTAGAATCAAGACAAGATGAATAAATAGTTATTTTAAACGAGTGGACTACTACCAGAATTTGGCTTGATATAAATGTCTGGAAACATGATGCATGACTCCTGGGTTTGTTGTAGGAAGAATTTCAAGTAATTAATATAAGTTATATGGAATTGCATTATTAAGGAGTAGAACCACTCCCTGGCAGTAGAATCAACAGGAGCTTTTCGATATGGATGATCATTTCATCATTAGAGACTATTGCCAACCACAGATGGTCATTGTGCCGCTTCCTCATTTGTTAAAATCCTTGATTATTTTGTTAGCCTACTTTACCTGTAAGTTTAGAGATCAGTTTTGAATTTATATGATCTACATGGAATTAAGACTCAACATTTATAACCTTTAATTTATATGACTTCAGGGGAAGGGATAATGATTTATGTACATGTTGTTTTCGTCATGAGCGCTGATGTTTGTTTACCATGCTGTTTGTAGTGAATTCCTCTCTTTACGATGGGGTGAGATATTATGCCAACCTTCGTCTAGAAGGTAAGGGCCGCCCCTGGTACAGCCGGATTGTCGGATGCTGCTTGTGATAAGTTATTGGTCCCGTGTTTGTCATCAATACCCTCTTCATTGTCATAACAGATATATGTCATGTGTATTCTAACAGTACTTGTAGAGTAGTGTGCAAGTTGGATGTGTAGTCCTGCATTAACAGAGATGCCAGTGAGGGTTTGGTTAAAGGGAGACAACTCTTGTAATCTTGCAGGTTAGAATGTCAGAGAAAAGAGTTACAAGCTTCCTTGTTGGAATTTTAGAGTAAAGATTTCTGATAAATTTTCATGAACAAATACAATGACAGATTAGCATTTATTTATGAAAACTATGCTCCAATTTGATATATATAGATATGTGATTGACTGAATGTTCAGACTAATCTGTTTGTCATAGATTACAGTTGTATTTGTAGACAATTGCCATTAGGGACCGTTCATAATTTATGGCTAGGGGGATGAGTGATGATGATTTTAAGGGGGTTCACCCATTTTGTTCTGGGGAGGAAGGGGGGTCAGCAATTTTGTACATAAAAATACTACAACATTAGGCTTAAAAATTATGGGGAGGGGGGTCATTGATTTTGTACATGATATGCAAAGGAGGGGGTCACTTACTTTGTACGTAAATTTTAGGGGAGGTCATTCACATTGTACATGCTTCTGAATAAAAATCATCATCACCCCCCAACCCCTTGCCATGAATTATCAACGGTCCCTTAGTAACTGTGCAATTAGCATTCTCTGGGTTAAGTCAGGACAGGAATGTTTTCTTGAAGTGGATGGTTCTTGAAAAAAAATAATCAAACCCATTTCGTTCTGAATTTTGTTGAGATATGGCTTACATTGTTGGAAATAATGATGTGGTGTTGTCTTGCAATACCAATTTCCAAGAAGACTAGACTTCATTTATATTATTTCATAACAAAATGGGTGAAAATCATATGTTTCTCCCTAATGTTGAAGAGAATACTATAGAGCAATGTAGAAATTGTTGCTAGTTAAGATGGTCAATACTTGCATAAGTTCCTAACACAATTACTGGTGCAGGTCTGGATTAGAATTGGTCTTCAGCAACCCATGCTTGTAAGAGGGGACTAATGAGATCAGCTGACCTATTTGAGACATATCATTTTATCCCAATTTAGTAGATCGGTGTTCATGATGTTGATCACTGGATTGTCTGGCCAGACTTGATTATTTACTGACCAGCGCCATATGGCTGGAATATTGCTGAATGCGGCGTTAAACACAACAACCAATGAGTCACGAGGACAGTACCGATATGGGACGAGTCATAGCCCTCCCAAATCATGCCTGTACACTTTAGAGTTTATTTAGGAAGCATGTGTGGCATGAACATCAATTATTTTCTTGATAGCTAGCATGTGCAAGGTTCAGTTACCTTTACTGATCAAAGCGTTTCCAGAGGCAGGTTAATTACGTGAGCTGTTAATTGTATGTGTGAGGTTCATCATGTTGACAACCTCATCAACATGTTTGTAGAGGCAAGTAATTATACATGAGCTATATTAATTATATGTGATGGAAATAAGTAGCATTGGATACTGCTGAAAATAAAAGAGTTAGTGAATTTTGTTTTTGAATATTTTTATGTATGAATTTATTTTCCAAATCTTTGTACATGGCAGTTGAAAATATGATGGTGTTAGTTTGGTATTCAATTTAATTGTTCTGAAACATGATTGTGTATGTTGTTTAAAATGGTGCAAGAACTGGCACAGACTGCTGTGTGTAAGTAGCTTTAATTTCTTTGATCCAAGGTCGCCCTGAATCCAAATAATCCATTCGTAAAAGCTGTTGATAAATACATCGCATCATCCAAGTCATATCACATCAAAGCCACTTATAGATGAAATATCTGGGAAAATGTTTATTACAACTGCCAAAGAGATATTAACAGTCATTATATGTTTTCAGTGTTGGTATTAAGTACCCCAGACCCGTGAAGGTCCGGGTTAGAATGAACCTTCAGTAACCCATGCTTGTCGTAAGAGGCAACTAACGGGATCGGGTGGTCAGGCTTGCTGGCTTGGTTGACACATGTCATCGGTTCCCAATTGCGCAGGTCGATGCTGTTGATCCCTGGATTGTCTGGTCCAGACTCGATTATTTACAGACCGCCACCATGTAGCTAAAATATTGCTGACTGCGGCATAAAACTAAACTCACTCACTCACTCCATACGCTAATAGATGACGTTTTATCAACACTGATTATGAAAAAAGGTGGTGGTGATAGGTATTGATACCACTTGATCTTATGTCATGCAAAAATAGTTGCAATTTATACATTTTGGGGGATATTCGTAACTTCAGTTGTCTGCCCTTATGACATTCCATCATTGTGCATTATTGTTAGTAGTCTGTGTCACTCTTCTCTGATAAAGTATAGAATTGGTCTTCAGCAACCCATGCTTGTCGTAAGAAGCGTCGAAAGGGATCGGGAGGTTAGGGTTGCTGGCTTAATGTCATCGTATCCTGATTGCGTAGATCGATGCTGTTGATCACTGGATTGTCTGATCCAGACTCGATTATTTTTAAACCGCTGTCATATAGCTGGAATATTGCTGAGTGCTGCATAAAACTCACTCACTCTGATAAAGTGTGTGCTGCGTTGGATAGCAATAACCATGCCAGATCATTGTTTTAACGAAAACACAGAAATTAGTGTGGTATAGACAAGTTTCAGTGCTTAATTTTAGAAGAGAAGTATATTGGCATAGCTTTTTGGCTCTGCGACAAGGCTGAATGTGTCACCTCCTTGGCAGGGTTCACTGCTTATGCCTTTGGAAATTGGTTTGCCTGGTCCAGACCTAAATGTCTGCAGATTGTTGTGTCAAACATACAATACTGCGGAGTGCAACTTTCATCTCCCTGCATTAATATTTTTTTGTGAAAACATTCAATCATCTTTTTGGAGTCAGTTTGTCTAGCTTGGAAAGATAAACTATCCCTCTAAAGAGTGGAGTGGTATATTTCATGGTGATTAGGTAGGTATTGGGTGGTGATCATGAGATGTTCACGTAAATAGAGTTACTTCCCTCCACAAGACATTGAAATTACAAGATGTTTCTAAATGTGACTGATCAGGTGGCCAGGCTCGCTGACTTGTTTCACATGTCATCTTATCCCAAAGATGCTCATGATGCTGATCACTGGATTGTCTGGTCCAGACTCGATTATTAACAGGCCACTGCCATATAGCTGAAATATTCTT